ACGAGCATAAATCAGGAGCTTTTACAGCCCAACGATCACCTTAGGCAAAGATATTCTATTTCTCGTCCCGAAAAATGTGTCTTGCGTTGAGGATGTGTGCCTTGCATATATTCGCATCCAGTATGAAACGAGCATGGGTCCCGAAAATTCTTCAGAAACTAGAGAAATTATCTACGAGAACTCTAGAGAAATTCGCTCCAGTGAGGCGCTCCAGTAACAAAAGCACGAGCAGATCGCCCAAATGCCGGTGGCCGCGATAATTTCTCTAGTTTCTGAAGAATTTCCGGACCCATGCTCTTTTCATACTGGATCGCGTGTGCCTTACAGAAACTGAAAAGTTCTTCCTATATCAAAAATATAGAAAATAATCTTTTGTTGTAAAAAGGTTTTATTTTCTTTGCTGATCATTTTGAACATAAAAAATCACAAATCCATTGCAAAAAAAAATAATTTCGTGAAAGTGAACTATTTCCTTTAAATCAAATCTGAGAACAATACTTAGAAAGGCCTTTAAAAGAGCTATCGAATGCGCTCTTCCGCGGCGCTGTAGCTCTATTGGTTCCCGACTTATGCGCCGTTTTGTGAAAAGCTGTCAAAATCGGGAACAAAACGCCAAGATAATGTTACCTCTGGTAGCCTCCAGTGACCTCAGTGAATAGGTACCTGATCGATAAAAATTACCTCTATAATTCTGAAAGACGAGCTATCTATTGCTTTTCACCGCGTCCTTCTAGCTTGCTTCATTTCCGATAGCGTGGTTCGGCCCCTCAGCGGGGCGTGGTTTAACTACTGTTTGTATGGCATTGGCCATGTTCTTTGGCGGCTTTATGGCATTGTTTTGTATATTTATTGACTGCAGAATGCATTGCATATGAAATACTTATATGAAAAGAACTTGTTGAAAATTGTTAGTAATCGTGAAAGCTTATTTTCAATTTTATTTTAGTTATCCAAGTAGATCGCCAACAGGCTGCACGGCCCATACAGGCGAGGTTTTTTCAAACCGGACATACACAATACACACACACATACAAGAAAGACACGCACCCGAATCCATGCAAGCCCTCTTCACAGTTCACATGATAATAAAATATTATTGAGACATAAAATAAGAATAATAGTAAAAATGCAAAATCAAATGAAAACTATTAAAAAGTCAATGAAAAAACTCAATATAAAAATGACAATAAATAATGACACGGATCTAAAAAGCGCTAAAAGTATCTTAAGGGAAATCCATCTCGGGACATCTGGCGAGAAAATCTTTTGCTTGGGCCTCTATTCTATTGAAAGTACCCTTCCTTACCGTCGAGAGACGGGTAAAGGGCACGTGAAATAACTGGACGTTCCGTGTCTGACGACGTGGTATATTTTGTAGTAGACAGTAGTATAAAGTTGATTCCTCAGTCATATTTATGTATTAACAGACCAAAACACATTTGTAGCGCGAACGAGGCTTGTGAAAAGGACGAGTCGATCCGCCCAGGCCAGAGCAGATGTTTTTTTTTCAGAACTTTAAGTGTAAACTACTCGTGACTGAGACCGAACTTCGCGAAAAGGCTATTCCTGAAAGGGCATAGCAGAATCTATCACAAATCATAGTTTGCATTTTATGGGATTGTTTCGAGGGCGTATTTACAAATTGCAACCGAGCTCCGCCGTAGGGTATTTTATTTCCGCCGTAGTGTATTTCACTTGGGGGATTTTCTACCATACATCTGCCTGAGCTTAGGGTAATTACAATTTGTCGGCGACGTTAAAAAATGATGCACTTTTTTCGCAGTATAGGATATCGCATGTGCATATTTCTGCCTTTTTGGGTGCGCTTTATCGGTTTTTCGTGAGTAACTCGTGTAAAAACCGTCCGATCGCGACGAAAATTTCAATGCCCCCGATTTTATCAATTTTACACCTACCCTGAAAATTTCATGACCCTGACCTAAATGACCTTTGACCTGTGACCTATTTCTCGAGACCATGTTTGGCCCGAATCGCGATTCGGCGTATGCCGGATCGCATTAGCCGCGCGGTTGCAGTCTTCACGTGGTTTCAAGCGTTGAAACATGTGATATGATGCTGGTCCCATGCATTAGGGTGGGTGTCAAGGTCACCTGAAGGTCAGGTCAGCTCAATGACCTTTGATGACCTCGGTTCCTTTTTCGAGTTTTACATGTTTCTAGGCTAGTTTTTGGAGCTGATTTCGAATTTAGCAACTATTTGAACATTACAGGGGGTGTAACGAAATTATCCGGACACCTTTCTTCCCGCTGTAATTAAAAAGCAAAACAATCTGGTACTTTTTCTTTTAACTGGGCTTGTAGCCACCTTTCATAAAAACACAGTGGTGAATGTTCTGGAGCATTTCAGCCAATGAATCCTCCAGCACACTTGCTTTGATGCGGACCAACGCCGTCTAAACCTGTGCCTGCGGTTGAGCAGTGCTTATGGCGGGTGGCTCTTCATAACCTCCTGCTGAACAAGAGCCCACAGGTTTTCGATTGAATTGGGATCGCGACTTTTTCCAAGTCATAAGCGTTAGCCCAGAATGATTGAAGGTTCTATCGGCATCACTTCCCGTTCTTTTAGGGACTTTTAAGTAGCGCGCCGCCCCGCATGAAGACAGCGTGGCTTGAATCAGTATCAGGCATCAGTGCGCGTTCAGAAATCGTGCCCTCCTATGCCGTCTGGTTGAGCGCCTCCAATCATGCTCCACCACCTTTCCTGGAAAAGCTCCACCCTTGCCTATGGGGCAAAATATAAGGGACAAAACACAAAACAAGACAGATAAAAACAAAGCAAAATTAACTCATTACCTAATGAAATTCAGGCTGGAGCAAAAACATAGGGAATAGGTATCTATGTCAAATTAGAATGAAAGATTAAAATCAACCTGACCAGGCCTTACGGTCTGACCTGGTCCTAACCACCTTACTTCGCCTAACTTAACCCAATTCAACCTAGCCTACCACAACACTGCAGAGGTACCTTCCCGGAAAAATGACGCCCAGGGAGGTGACTGTCCAACTTATTGGAATACTACCATGATTGCTTGTCAAAATGTGTGTCATCATGCTATTGTTTGACAAGTGACCTATAATAAATGTGATATTAAACAATTATCTCCTGACTGTTGACTGTTGAGTGGTCAAAATATTCAAATAATCAGGGTACAATGCTGTGCATTGTGCACACTAATCATGTTGTTTTTGTGTAGGTCCTCTGCACATTGTTGTGTGCACTGCTATGTGCACAAAAAAGTGACTGGTGCACAAAAAAAAATGACTGGTGGTACATGACAAAACAAAAGGTTGTGCAACTGTGAAGTTCATGCCCTTGGTCAAGCTGGTGCCAAATGCCTATAGCTATAGCAGGATCAGTGAGGGTTGTAGACATGCTACATACATTGTGCAATGTGCATTGAAGATATTGGCACAAAGTTCATCCGTAATTACTATGCTTAACAACTAATGTAGGAAGCGACATAAATGCCCAGATGATAAAACTCTCTGGTCAACATCACACAAATTTATTGACATACTTTGCAGGTACATATTTACATTCATGGCAAATACTTTCGATTTGATTCAGAAACTAGTTGCTAGTAAGCTTGCATTTTTGTAGGTACAACAACGACCATATATTAAATCATAAAAACCTTCTCATGGCATTCATCACATACCTACCTTTTTACCGAACAAGTACCTAGCTACCATACAATGATTCTAAAAAAAAAAAATCAGCAATCCATCTATGTCTCAACTGACACAATGAATTTGAAATACCCTAACAAAACCTATAACTGTACATAAGAAGAATGCAATACTATGTACAAGAACTATGAATTTCTGAAGTTATTCTCACATGCTGGAGTGTTGAAACGGTAAATGTCAAGTTTAAGTCCTAAGAAGATTTCATTGATAAATTTTTCATATTTTTACATTATTTGACATCCTGAATCCAAAAATGATACTCATGTGTCTCGCAAATAAAAGAAAAAAACATAATCAAACCTGACCTAACCTTACCTACTTACCTATAACCTACCAACCTACAACCTACAAACCTACCCTAACCTAACCTAACCTACAAACCTACCTACCTACAACCTAAAACCTACAAACCTACAACCTAACCTAACCTAAAACCTAAAATTTTTGCTGTTTCATATTTGTATCAAAAGCGCCACAGTTGTAATTAGGACCTAAACTTGACATATACCGTTGAAACTCTACTTTTGTCGTCCATTTCCACGTTTGATTGTCGCCATCACAATCATATCAAACTGTTTTCGTTCTTCAGTCACAAGCTTTCGCACAAATCTTGAATTTTTATGCATCATCTTGAACCATGCTCCAGTCTTTCCAACAAGGTACAAGGTAACATTGAAGCAATTTTGATTTGTTATAACAGCTTCAGATCATGATAGGCTTGAGGTTTGTTACACCATTTGCCAGACAAATCTCTACAAAATGTGTATCAATTCCCAAACTAAGTAATTGATCATATCAGTATTATGTTTATATAAAGAAACTCAAATAATCCACAAATTGTTATTGAAACACCCCCACTTCAAGAATTCACAGCAAATAACAGTACAAGCAAGTACAAGTACAGAAGCTAACAAACATTGCGCCAGATTTCGTATGAAACGCGCCATCGTCCTGAAGTTTCTACCACAGACGGTAGTTCAACCGCAGCCGTAGTGCGAAAACCCCTGCCCACCTTACCCCACGGCGGAGCTCGGTTGCAATTTGTAAATACGCGTTTCGAGGACATGCTTTACCAGCTGTTTTTCTGTTTTAGTAATTAAATATATATCTAGGGTTGCAAGTACCTATATACATTTGTACAATGAGATCACGTAGTCTTGGGCTGGAAGTTATGTACAGGTGTCCGTAGAAGTAGTCGTAGAAGTCGGTAGTCTTTAGCCGTGCATGTGGAAGTATACGTGATTAACGCTTCATGTTTTATAAGAAAAAACTAATTTTAGTGGATTCCAGGCGATTTCGAGGACCTGGTGGGGTCACGAATACCATTTCAAGAGCATGGGTATCCGAGTTTGGATCTGTTTCTTCGCGCCATTCCGGACACTGTTCGGGTAAGAGAATCGATGCGATTTTATCGCTGAGACTACGCTGCTTCTCTGTTCTGCTTTACTTTACAACTAACAGCTCGCCATCGTATGTCCTTCGGTTATCTATTCGCAACTGGTGTAGGGGTTTTCTCAACGGGACATGCTTATTTATGGCACGATGACTATAGATAATTTATGGTACATGGGCATAACATAACCTTGGATATAACTACCTGCCGGGACTCGGGTTTCAGCCAATTTTGTCATTGTGGTGAGCATTTTGTTAACACCCAATGATTTGACAGCTACCGAAAATGAAAAAAAGGTAAGAAAATAGCTCTCAACAAACTCTTTCAAAAGAAGTTTGTCCATTTTTTTTCATGTACCTAGATCAGGAACAGGTGGATAATTATTATTTAGGTCAGCGAAGGTCATCGAATCACAGTTTGCCATTTCCCAACTGACGCCCACATCCGACACCGTAACTTAGAAAGCTGAGGGTGCAGAAACATCGATTCTCATCAAACGACCTATCTGCACTCTGTCGATTGAATTGACGTCAGATCCACCGTTCGGCCTAAAGAGATCAAGGAATGTAACAAATGTTCCTTTTTTTCTTGGAGGAATGACATGATTTTTAGATAATGTCCTTTTTGCGATAGCTGTTTATGTGGTTGCTTTCGTGAAAAATTATGACCATTGCATTCCTCTCAATGAATCAAGTGGAACTGTATGGGCATAATACCAGTATAACGCCTTATGGGGCGACTAACGGAGCGAGCGAGAGGGTGGGCCTTGCACGTGCGAAATTTCAAGGGGGTACCTCCAACTGACTTGTGCACGGCACCTTACTAACCGGTCTCTAGCGATGTGCCAAATTTGAGCACAATCGGCCCAGCCGTTCTCGAGATCTGGAAGCGGCACCCTGCACGTGCGCACGTGCAAAATGGGTCCCAACTGACTTGTGCACGGCACCCTACTAACTGGTCCCTAACCGTGTACCAAATTTGAGCGCCATCGGTCGAGCCGTTCTCGAGATCTGGAAACGACCCCTGCACGTGCGCACGTGCAGCAGCACCCCAACTCTGGCACATGGATATGCAGTGCCTAGTGGATGCCTACCTACATGCCAACTTTCAGCATAATCGGCCCAGTAGTTACCGAGATATTGCAACAATTACAAACTGACACCTCTTCGTTTTGCACGTGGCACGTGCATAAGGGGTCACCCACATGCATCGGGAATAGTCCAATACTTGGTAGAAGGAATGAAGCAACCCTACAAAAATTACCGCGTGTAAATCGGTCAAGTGGTTGCTGAGATATAAGCCTCGCAAAAGCGTCCGCACGGCCGGCCGGCCGGCCGCTCATACTCAGAAATTTCCGTTAATCTAAGGAAAGACTACGCTCGCTTCGCTCGCTCCGTAATGACCTGATTGGTCAACTAAAACCAGTATAGCGCCTTTTGGGGCGACTAACGGAGCGAGCGAGAGGGTGAGCCTTGCACGTGCGAAATTTAGAGGGGGTACCTCCAACTGACTTGTGCACGGCACCCTACTAACCGGTCTCTAGCGATGTGCCAAATTTGAGCACAATCGGCCCAGCCGTTCTCGAGATCTGGAAGCGGCACCCTGCACGTGCGCACGTGCAGAATGGGTCCCAACTGACTTGTGCACGGCACCCTACTAACTGGTCCCTAACCGTGTACCAAATTTGAGCGCCATCGGTCCAGCCGTTCTCGAGATCTGGAAACGACCCCTGCACGTGCGCACGTGCAGCAGCACCCCAACTCTGGCACATGGATATGCAGTGCCTAGTGGGTGCCTACCTACATGCCAACTTTCAGCGCAATCGGCCAAGTAGTTACCGAGATATTGCAACAATTATAAAACTGACACCTCTTCGTTTTGCGCGTGGCACGTGCATAAGGGGTCACCCACATGCATCGGGAATAGTCCAGTACCTGGTAGAAGGAATGAAGCTACCCTACAAAAATTACCGCGTGTAAATCGGTCAAGTGGTTGCTGAGATATAAGCCTCGCAAAAGCGTGACCACGGCCGGCCGGCCGCTCATACTCAGAAATTTCCGTTAATCTAAGGAAAGACTACGCTCGCTTCGCTCGCTCCGTAATGATGAATCTCTGGTCAAGGTCGTGACCTGGCCCAAATGGCTCATTTGCATGAAGTTAAGTGAATGTATTTTTAACCGCAAGTTAGTAGAGAGAAATGTCAGGCCCGTTTAAACACTTTTAACCCTCGCCCGTACATGCCATTTTCCCATCCTAGAATGCACATGGGGGGTGCCACCCCCCGCGCCATTTCGTTCCTGTTGGAGATAAGAGCTTTGCGGTAAAGACCAAAAAGATTCTTTGGGAAGAGACGAACCCAATGATACCCAGTTTTACCTTCTCAGGTCAGCCATTGACCTTCCAGGTCAGGTCAAACTAAAAAATGTTGCTGTTTTGGGTCACCGTTGGATATCAAGTGCGCTGCTTATCATATACCTACCGATGACGATGCCGTTTTATGGTGCCAGGCCAGCTAGAACCTCTTTGTCACATTGCCCGACCAGGTTTTCGCTGCTGAGGTTATTTCAGGTCAAGTTAGGTCGAGGTCAGTGATATGTGTTTGTATGTCTGTGTGTGTCTGTGTATATACTGATGTGTGCACCGATTGTTTATGTGTCCATATTACATGAAATCATGATCTGAGAAGCTTTTACCAAAAATGCAGTCAAAAAACTTCACGAAAAGTAAATTCAGCTTGCATAAAACGCAATTATTTTAGATGACCTAGGTTGACCTTGACCCTGACCTTGACATCTATACATCGTCGAACAACATGTTCCATGATAGGTGGGAGGTAAGACTGGCAAAAAGGCCGAAATTAAGGTGTCAAAAGCTCACAAGGCCCATAGCCAACGCAAGGTGTTGGGAATTGGTCATTTGGGTCATGACATGACCTGAAAAACAAGGTCATATCTCCTAAGCCAAAAACCTTAGAAACTTGAAATTTTCAGTGGACATCAAGAAAGGATAGAGGAGCAGCTATTCGATAAATCAAGCCTCTAGCTCTAAAAATGTTGAGTGCAGAGCAGAAAGACTACCTGGGGGGGGGGGGGCAACCCCCCCTCCCATGTGCGGGCGAGGGTTAAGAAACATGGGTATATTTTCACAACCGAACATTTGCTAGCTAGCCGGTTCTACCTGGGCATTGATTACTTGAGATGTATGCGGGTGACTGTCACGGCACGTGTCACACCTCTAATCAGGAACGTCGAAATTGTTCTTGTAAAAACTTCATGAGGACTGCGCCGATAGCGCTGACTCTTAGCTTACCGGTGAGCGGCCAACGGATAGTGAGTTTTTGCGTGCCTCGGTTTGGGTGCTAACTATTTATTGGATAATGGCTCGAGGGATGGCTCGCACAAGTCGATGGGAGTCTCATTTTGCACGGGTGTATGTGCAGAAGCGGCCTCTAAATCTTGAGCATTGCTGGACTGATTGCGCTTGTACACCGTTGGGTGGTTCGACAAGCTAGGTGATCTTTGTGCTTGCTAGCTCGTCGTCCAAAAATGTGTTTCCCAATGATTTTTTTTTTCAAAGAAAATTGATAATACCTTCAGTTGTAGATATACCTGCAACCTGCATGTTAATTGTTATGGAACATACCCAAACATTTGCTCTTCAGTTCACCGTTTTGAATTATGAATGATTCATTTCAAACGCATTGTGTCGTAGGCATTTTACGAAAATACTTTCTTGTCTGTGCTTTTTAGCTTCTGGCAAGTCTTAACTGCTTTAGTTCGCATCAGATGCGCTTTGGCTCCTGGGCTGCAGGTATACTAACAGTTCGCTTACCTATATCTCTGAGAGAAAGGAGGCTTTGCATATTTCCATCGACGGGAAACTCAAGTGTGTTCCTTATGAACGGTAGCCCTATCGATTCTGTTGCAGCTCTTTGTCGTTTGCCGTTCTATATACCGTGCTGACCGTATTGCTGTTCTCGGCCGACTCATCCTGTGCCCGTTTCTTGACTATCGCTTCGCTGTCATTCGAGTGTTGTATCTCCTTGCCGCCGTAGAGACCCGGGTCTCCAGTTAATTTCTGCTGCTGCGACTGTCCCGACTGGGGATGTTAGTCGTCTATCTGTGCTGCGTTCGTGTAGCTGGTGATATATTTGCGACCATTGGCTGGTGGACAGACATTAGATGAGTTGCACTGAGTTGCTGCCTCTGTTTGCGCGGAACCGTTCGCCGACTTACCGCTGCCTTTCCGCGCAGCTGACGGAGCTCGGTAGGGAGACTCTGGTGGAGCACGTTCATGACGCCAGCGTGGCCCGGATCGCCTCTCTGGTCAGCAGACAGAAGGGGACGCCCAAGAAAGGCACGGTGGCCAAACTCGGCAAGATACCGAGAATCAACCCTCGACCAGAACCAGGTTGGATGGTGCACTCAGGCCGAGACTTCGTAACGAGCTTATGCATTGAGACGAGGCTTAAAGGGACTGTCCCACCTTAACATTAGATTTGAGTTGAGATAGCCATCTTGATGGACGTTCTTTGAAAATCAGTGCCGTGAAAACCGTTTCTCCAGCAATTACTTCATCGCAAAGAAATTTGAGTTTGATTTTGACATCTGTGCAAATAAGTGCCACAATGTATTGGTATAGGCACTTAAATCTGATGACGTCATCAGGCTTTCGAACGTCCGTTAAATGTTTGACTAAAACGTTTTGTAGCACGCGGTGGTATATGCTGCGTTGCGCGCAACAAATGCCGCACTTTTAAATAAAGTCGCTAGGAACAGCGGAGATCCCAAAAAGTAAACAAAAGTAAAAGTCTAATATCTTGAAAACCGGTGAATATTTTTCGGTGAAATTTGGTAGATATTCGTTTTCGCTCTTTCTGAACCGAGCGACATCACTTTCATGCCAATTCATAAACTTTTTTAAAGGTGGGAGGGTCCCTTTAAGTTCTGTCACCTATGTGCATCACTGTGTCTCAGCATGTAACTAAGCAGCAACACATATAAATGAAATACATATCCAGCGATTCAGGCAGAAAACAATCTTCAGGCTTGCAACTTTTGTTCTTCTTAACCTTCGCCCCAGTGGGGGGGGGGGGCATATGTTACCACCCTGTCGCGTTTTTTGCGTGGGAATAAAAAACCGCGGCGCGTAGCGCCGCGCCGCTTGGGGTAGCTTTTGGTACATCAATTTTGGACAATGTGTGAAATTTTTGACCCCAGGTCATGTCAGGTCAGGTCCCCAGGTCAAGTTAACTGACCAAGCCTAAAAAAGTTTGCAATCATGTCCAGCCTGCAGTGTTTGTCAGAAAGGTTTTAAACTTGTTGGATTGCATGCTGTTATGGGCGCCTACAATTTGTATATCTCGGATTTTTTATATCCGTGACCTAAGGTCAGGTCAGTGGCGTGACCTTACCATTACAAGTCAATGGAGAAAAATGAAAATGCCTCTAGATCCGTGTGTACGCATCGGAACAGTCCAAATATTTCAGACTCACAATGATTTAGTCCACTCGTGATGACCAAGGTGTCATTTTTGCTGATAGCCTCTAGACAGGTCATCCGAGGTCACTTGAGGCTACAAACAGTTTTTTGCCAATAACTCGCGATTGGAACGAGATAGAACGCTGGGGATGGTCTCATTGTGTTTGTCTTGTTGAGACGCATCGACTGATATGCAACATGACCTTTTCCGGTCAGGTCATGACCTTGACCTGAGGTCAAATTTTCAAGTTGACCTTTCAAGGTCAAATTAGTTCATTCGACGCGTCTCGGCGAGAGGAACACGATTCTGGCAATAGAAATGTCGTGGCTTTTTGTAGTCGAAAGTTATTGTCGAAAAACACTTTTCGTAAAAACAGCTATTTTTGGAGTTTTTGCCCTCTGGAGGCTAAACCGTTGACCTGAGGTCAATATTGATAATGACCTTTTCAAAAGAAGAGTTCAAAAGCTATCGTTTGCTGTTCCATGCATTTTCTAGCTACCATAGTTCCTGAGATAGCGGCATGTTTTCTGAAAAATATAATGACAATTGGCAAATTTTGACCTTTGATGACCTCTGGTGACCCCAATATTGCTCTAAGGTGAAAAATGACCGAAATACTTTCAAACGTACGCATTGAGAGCTATCGACTGCTTTTTACTGCGTCTTTCTAGCCCTCTTAGTTTTTGAGTTAGAGGTGGGTGGTAACATATGCCCCCCTCACTAGGGCGAAGTTGGCTGAGACCGCCACTGGGGCGCGGGTTAAGGTCACGTAGCACTTTGCAAAACGGGCTCCCTACATATATGCATTCTATTGTGCCTTCCTTCTGTAATTTTATCGAAACGCTTTTGTATGTCTCAGCAATTTTTTGTGTCAATGAGACAGCAGCGCTGACTGTTTTTGTTCCCAGCGCCGCGGACGCACAATCTCCAGTCAGGAGGCGCTCCGTCCAAGACCATTCCTGCAACTACCCACTACAGTCAAAGGTGCGACGCGCGTGAGGCTTGGTGGCTGATGGAAACCATGCTTGACTATCGACGAGCTCAGGTTTCTATGCGCTTTTATCTACTAAAAATTTGTGTCCACTTGCTACTTGATATTTGTTGGACCTCAAGTGCACCTATGCTTTCACTATTTTTACCTGATTCATGTACCCTGTAACTTCTCCCATTTTAAACGTTTTGCGATCAGACAATATAATTGATAAGTTTATGTTATACAAAAAAGATCATATTGCATGTCATAATGACGTGAAGGCTTACTGGTTTTATTTAAATATCCATCTAGGCATAATTCATTTTATTGTTGTTTTTTATTGAGTTTTTTATTTTTTATATTGTTTTTTTTTTTTATCCAGCACATCCTATCGATTATGCAGATGGTGTGTGCGCTCATATGCTCTCCTCCATGCACTCATACTGACATTACCTACCGTCAACACGTCCGTTAACCACAGCAGACGCATGTCCGCCCCCGTTTGGGGAGTGACGGGCCACAGCGTCTGAGCGCTAGTCTGCTGTCCGCAGCTCGTCTCAGCCGGGTCGGAGCGGCGGCATTATCAGCGGCGGTGTGCCGCAGTCGGGAGGGACGCCGACCGACCCCCGCAGCACTATGGAGGTGAGGTGGACGGGCGGATCAACCCCTCCCCCCCCCGTGCCGCACATATGTTAGTCAGGTGCTGCACGGGTAGGCAAACCGCTCTGATATCGTACCTAGAGGTCACTGATACCGTTAGGGGGGGGGGGGGCGGATATCAGTGGCCTCGTCCCGATATCATGCAAGAATGATGCACGGCTGTGGTATCGTTCAGGGCAGGTAAATTGCTTCGATAGCGTGCCAGGTACTCATCCGGCCTCTAAAATGCTTGAGTTACAAGGTGATGAGTTGCCGTTGGTTGCGATGCTGCTTGTTGCACACAACACATGAAGAATATAGGGAATGCTTTTCTGCCATGGCTGGAGCTAATGGTGCTGGTTGTCGTCCCATAACAATTGCAATTGCTATAGATTTGGTGTTGGCGGGGCGCGGAACTCATGGACCTTGGTACCATTATGTCGGTTGGCGGCTGAGCTAGACACGGTAACAGTCACAGTACCTAACAGAATATAATGAGTGCATAGGGGCTTTGGTGTATTTGATAATTGATATAGAAAGACTTGTGTGGAAGCTGGAACGCATGTGTGTATAGCGATTAACGACACGTACATACATTAATCATTTTAATACCATCCCCACTCAGTGCATGCTGGATATGTTCTGTTTAATAAAACCTTTTCGAGCATATTTTGCATGAGTTGTGTCTGAAAACTTCGCGCTTTGTTCATGTCTGCCCGTAATTTGTCCCAGCCACTGGCCCACCCACCACCTCCGAACGTTAAAGGGACCCTCCCACCTTCAAAAAAGTTAATGAATTGGCATGAAAGTGATGTCGCTCGGTTCAGAAAGAGCAAAAACGAATATCTACCAAATTTCATCGAAAAATATTCACCGGTTTTCAAGATATTAGACTTTTACTTTTGTTTACTTTTTGGGATCTCCGCTGTTCCTAGCGACTTTATTTGAAAGTGCGGCATTTGTTGCGCGCAAAGCAGCATATACCACCGCGTGGTACAAAACGTTTTAGTCAAACATTTAACGGACGTTCGAAAGCCTGATGACGTCATCAGATTCCCGTAATGGTTAAGAGATAGGGACCACGCTGGTCCCACCCTGCAAGTAAAGGGAAGGAATTTCTTGAACACCATAAAGCTGCGGGGGTTGCGACCAAGATAAATGGTGGTTTCTGAGCCTGGCCGCAAACTTGGCTATCTCAACTCAAAACTAATGTTAAGGTGGGAGGGTCCCTTTAACGCAGGCAGAGAGCTTTCAGGCAGCGCGATATGGTGTGACTTATCGTCAGATATCACGGGGTGATTCGTCAACATTCGGGCTGATGCATGCTCTGAGTTGCCTGTCTCACATCTATCAGTTTGATGATCGGTTCAAGGATGCCGCAATGCGTCACGATGCCGAGCACAAACATTCTTTGTTCTTTTGTAACAGGAACAAATTGTTCGCAATTCCCAGTGCACGTTTGGTTTTAGCGTGCTACTCACTAGTACGTGTATCTTACATGGAGCTTTACATGCAATGTATCACATAATGATATCGAAAAATTTTAATTGCAATATTGTATAGCACGTACAGCAAGTTCATCGGGCTCATTGAGACTTACCCCGCGTTCGATGTCTCTCGGACGGCGAAGATTCTACGCCGTCCGGCCAATCACGTTCCATAACTGCAGCCGAGCCCCCGCTAACCTTGAACGGGATTGGTCGGACGACGTAGAATCTTCGTCGTCCGAGAGACATCGAACGCGGGGTTAGATTAGATAACATACATAAAGATAGGCATCATCGAGGATGGCTGTAATATGTATGAACTTTGTTGGTATTTGCTTTTTTCATGCGTCCAATTTCTCGTATAAGCGCTAAGGCAAGCGTGACTTCTACGACGTTCTCAATCTTAAATGAGTCAGGAAATTGTGTCGACCTTACTCGAAATATAATAGGTAAATAATTATTGGGGTGACAGATGTTTGTCATTGGCCACTTTGCAGAAGTCTCCGCGAACGGGAGGTAGCAGCGCCGAATCCGAGGGCAGCCGTTCTCTATCGACAGCCGCCCCCTCGATGAGGCAGGCGCCCGCGCTCTGCACGCGACACCGGCCGCCGGACGTGTGCCGCCGCCCCTCCTGTGACGCCCTCCACATCTGCCGGCTGTACGTGGACGGGTTCTGCCCGCACGGTGACGCCGCCTGCCGCTGGGGTCATGTGATGCTCTCAGCTGGCAACGAGGCGGCGCTGGCAACACACCAGCTGCAGGCGCTGCCCGAGCGCGAGCTGCTCTGGCTGGTGCGCGCCCTGATGCGCCAGACGGCTCCAGTCACCGCCGAGGAGTACCGCAGCCAGCTGGTCGTCTGCCCAGAGTACGCCGCCGACGCGCGCTGTCGGCGATCCGACTGTTTCCGGCTTCACCTGTGCCCACGACTGGCGGCCGGCGAGTGCGGCGCCGGCGACTGCTGCCGCTGGAGCCACCGGCTCACCGACCCGGACAACGTCATGGTGCTGCTGCGGCTGCGCTGCTCCGAGCTCAGCGAGGCGGAGGTACTCGCCCGGCTGACGCTACCAGCGAGCGTGCCAGACGGCGGCGTGCCTCAAACAAACGGCGTGGGAATGAGTGATTGTCTCAATGGGCAAAAATCGACCGAAAGCACTGGAAGCAGCGACATGACATCATCAGTAAGCAGCAGTAGCAGCGCAAAACGAGTCGTTGCGAGCGTACCCAACACATGCCAGAAGCGACCACAAGAGGACAAGGGGTCTGGGGACTTAAAAGAGCTGGCGCAGAAACTGAACCTGTGTCAACTGAACATTCCTCCCTCTCACTGTCCAGGAAACTGTGGTCAGCTTCATCTTTGCCGTCTCTTTTTAGCGGACATATGTCCTCACGGTAACAAGTGCAACGGTGGGCACAAGCTGCTCACTTCTTTGCACAACTCCAAGGTACTGAACGAACGTGGAATGGATGAAATGTCGGAGGAAGAACTGCTCGGTGCAATCAAGACGGGCTATCTCTCCCGGAGTCCGATCACCGACCTGGAGCGTTGCTTTGCTCTTCAAGTTTGCCCCCAGTACCAGAACAAGGGATGCGGGGAGAACTGTCCGCGTCTTCACATATGTGAGGGATATGTGGCGGGGACGTGTGCGAACGGCAGTGGGTGTGGACTGTCACATCAGCTCCACACTGGCACCAACGATCGGATCCTCAGGCGGATGGAGCTGAACCTGTTGCCTCATCGCCAGCTTATGGAGCTGCTGAAGGCACGCCCGACTGCAAGTGCTGCTCGGAAGAGCATTGGCTCTAAAGGAACGTCAGCTGGTCCTCCAAGTGATGCATCTGTCTCCGTCAAAGGCTGCTCTGAGAGTGACGGCTCCAGCGAACCGCGTCAAGCATCCAAAGAGGCAGAAACTCTCCCACTCACCGATGCAAAACAGTCTGCGCTTGAAGTGTGCCTGTGTTTGTTTAATGTCTATCCCTCACGCTGCCCATTGGACTGCGGGAAGCTGCATCTGTGTCGCCTCTTTGTGGCGGGGATGTGTCCATTTGGCAAAAAGTGCTCAACTGGACACAAAGTCATCAGTTCTTCACACAATGCTGCCGTGCTAAAAGAACGAGGGCTTGGCGGATTATCTGAAGAGGAAGTGTTGGATGCCATCAAGAAAGGATACCTTTCTCGAACCCCAATCACCGATCTGGAGCGTCGCTTTGCGCTTCAGATTTGTCGCGCTGCCCAGGCCGACAACGGTCCGTGTGAAAAGGAGGACTGCTTGCGCCTGCACATTTGTGCTGAGTATGTGGCCGGAACTTGCGGGAACGGTGGTGGGTGTGGGATGTCCCATCAGCTCAGGTCTGGCAACAATCTCGTCATCCTCAAACGCCTGGGGCTAAATATTATGCCTCACAAGGAGCTCTTGGAGCTCTTGCAGAACCCGCCTATGGCCAAGGATGTTTGGCAGAGCCTTTTCTGTAGTGGCGCATTGACGACCGTCTCGAACGAAACTGCCTCCGCACTGGAGCCGTCCCGACTCCAGACAAACAAGCCTGTCCCGACAACGACGACGACGACGACCAGTGCCGCTCTCGGTGTCGCTGATGACGCTCCGACGTTGTGTGCAGTTCACTCATCCGGCGGTCGCTGTCAGCGCGACGACTGTGACGAGTTCCACGTCTGCGGCTTCTACCTGGCCGACCTGTGTCGCCGGCCGGACAGCACCTGTCCACTGGGGCACAGTTTCGACACGGCACGCAATCGGCGCGTGCTGGAGCGCTGGGCACTGGAGGGCAAGTCTCCAGAGCGCTGTCAGGAGATGATCAACAAGATGTCGCAGCGAGCACACATCACATTCCCAAACGGCGCTGAGAAGAGCGTGCGCATGTGCATCCCGTACAACTCAAGAACTGGTTGCAGCACCGATTGTGGCCAGTTCCACGTGTGTCACCGCTTCCTGGCGGGCACTTGCAAGGGATCGAGCGTGTGTCCTCTGCGGCACGCGTTCGGTGGACGACACAATCAGAACTTGCGAGACTCTCTGGGTCTGGTGGCGACCGTGGGGCTGGATGGCTCCTTGTCTCCGGTGACGGACCGGGAGCTGACCGAGTTGCTGCGGGCTCGACTCGGTGTCGCCCCCGGGGTGTACACAAATCTCACTGAGAACACACCTGCGCGCGGCGGTTCCAAGCCCCCCATGTCGCCGCCGGCCGTGTGCCGCAGTCTGGGCGCCGGCCGGCGCTGTACGGACGCCGCCTGCCCCGCCGTTCACGTGTGCCCGCACTTCCTGGCGGGCGCGTGCCGCCGGCAGCGCTGCCCGCTCGGCCACCGGCTGGACACCGAGCCGAACCGGCGCGCACTGCGGCTGACCGGCCGCGAGGTGACCCAGCACAACCATGACGCGCTGGTCAAGGAGCTGTACAAGGCGGCAGGAAACGTCAGGAGGTCCGAGGTCTATGACAAACTGCGGCTCTGCATCCCCCATAACAGCCAAGGATGTAGTGTTCAAGGCTGTGCAAAGATACACATCTGCCAAAAGTTCGTGGCTGGATCTTGCAAAGAAACTGCTTGCGACCTGGGCCACGTGGTGGGAACACCAGCCAATAGGAAGAGGCTCTGTGCTCTGGGCCTGCAAGACGCTGAGGTGGAAGATGTTTTGGAGATGCTGCGCGCAGTTCATGGTGTGCGCTCAGCCTACACGGTGTAACAGGTGCCGTCTCCCGATAGATCATCAAGAACAGCTCTTATTCGACCAATCGACCAATTCGTCGACCAATTCTCATTCAATCAATCTAGTTAACTGAAATTTTGGTGATATCTGTAGCCGTTTACTAATTACAATGTCTGCTGGTGATCATAACATTTGTCAATGCCGGTCGACAACAGATTTTGTTTGCAGAACCGAGAACGTTCGGATATTGCATTGAGCATGCAAAATGTATGTTATTTCACCGAGGACTGAGGAACCACTACAATTTGGAATAATACTAACCAGTGGGCATTGACATTTATTGGAGATGAAAAGTTTCAGCGAGGCTGCTCAAAATTATCTGGAAAATCGTGAGCATCGCTGTTTATCCTCGTTTCTTGTCTTTACGGTTGTCTTGTTATGAGATGGAGTGACTTCGCTCGGCTGTAGTGTATTATCTCTTTTGAAAGCATCGCAACTCGAAAGTATCCTTCTCGCTCCCTGGTTTGAGGGCGCCTAGCTTTTTAGGGCTGGCCGCTTGGCCGGCCCGTGAAACCGTGAAAACAATACGGGCCGGCCAAGTGGCCTACCCTCAAAAGCCAGGGGCTCTCAAACTAGCGAGCGATAGCGGTACTTTCGAGTAGCGATATTTTTAAAGAGGGACTACGCATGTGGTGTGTAGAGAGCTTTCTCTCCTTTTCTTTTCCCTGATTTCGCTTAGATATGCGAAGAGAAGGTGCGTGAGCTCACGCTCAGTTATGTGGATATTGTTTACTCGAAGCTTTCTGCAGTTTGCGGTAATGTTATGTTCTCGCGCTGTGCATGGGCGGCGCCACCGGGGGGGACGGGGGGGACAGGTCCCCCGCTATCACAAGTTAGGGGGGTACAGTACCCCCCTATCGGCGAGGCCCGTTCAATAGTTGATAATAATGCATTATAGAGCTATCCGTCGCATTTAATGCATCGTTGGTTAATCAAGGCAGGTTCTGAATAAAGATTGCTGTTGGGATGCATCGCAGGGGGTGCTGGCCATCTGCAAAAGGTGTGGAGCTGTGATGCCTGTAGTTACAAGGTGATCGGCAGGGCCTCGGGGATCGTGCCCCCTTTTTGGGGCGCCAGGCAGGGTTATTACTTATTACCTCCCCACCCCACTGCCAGACCCCATTGCCGATAAAACCAAGTTCACTGAAATTCCATAGATTTCCGTTACTATATGAAAAATTTCCATTCCTAATTAGTCAAATTCAAGCATGGCAGTTCTACCACAGGAACCATTTGAAATCTATGCCATTTAACCCCAGCACTTGTGGGGAGAAGTGTTCGGATAGATCACAGGCAGGACCAAAAAAGCACGCAGTAGCCCAAGACATTATAATTGGATATAGCATCGGCTCCCTCTCGTCAAGGGGTTCGATAGCACTCGTTTTTTTTCTGCAAAACTAAGTTCGGTCGGCGGCCGAACGGCTGGGGGTCTAATCGAGCCCCCCATCCCTCCCCTTCTTACGTCAGCGACTGTGAAAATGCCATTACCAGCTGTTGAAACATGGCAGTTGCTTTTGCATGAGTGCACGAAAGGGTGTTAGGTCCGTGATACGTGAAAGGTTCTACATGAAAATTGAGATACACCAGCTTATCAAATTGTGCTCACTGTGGTGCGCTCGGTTTTACCTTGACTAGTCTTTGAATTATGGGGTGAAACAGACCAGTCAAGAAACCTGTTCCATAAGGAGAGCCACTAATGCTAAAGAGATGTGGGATTGAGGTTTCCAGAGACCTTCATTACCTCCCAAAGGGGGTGCCCCGCCATTTGCCAATCCCTGCTGTAGTTGTTACGATTGGAGGGTGAGTATGAGAACGATGCAGGTCGTGCCAGCTCGATCATGACGAACACAATGGTGCCGACATCACAGCTCTACTGCGATTTTTGACGAAGTTAATCAACAAGGACCGGAATCCTACCCTGGGGCATTTCACCTGCAGAGGTAGCCGGACCTGAGACTCTTTCACTCAATTTTTTCAACGGTGCATGCGCTCGTTTTTCCCGCGAAGCTCTTGGCAAGTAAAATCCATCAGAAAGTGTGATCAAATAACGGCTGGTGACCTTCCATGACCTAGCATGGCCTTTTGAGTGACCACCGATGACATGGCCACTGACGGCTAGCCATTAGCTGCACCCTGCCCGTTGCATATGGATCAGGTGGTGATGTCATGATTCTGAAATTATATTGCAGTTTTGGCGCACTTGTCAGAGCAGAAGACACTCCCACTTTTCCTCCATGACTATATGATGGTGAAGCCCTGAAGCTGACCAGACGTAAGATCGAAAATTTGAAAGTACGAAACGTAAGAATAGCTGGCACTGATACTCATACCCCTCATACCTAAGCAATTCGCAGCTTGTAGGAAACCAGCTTTGAGTTGGCAAGACTGCAAATTTTGATTTAGAGGCAAGGATGCTTGAAAAGGTGATCGATCTTAGGTGTCCTAGGATAAGTTTGGAAACGGGATGCACCATTCGATGTGTTTTGGGCCTTGCCAAGTTTCGCGGCGTTACGTGCCTCGTTTTTTTTTTTGCATACACGATCAGTATCGATCAGTATCTACTTTTGGGATTTTCGATTTTCGGTCCCCGTCCCCCCCTATCGAAAACCCGTGGCGCCGCCCCTGGCGCTGTGGCGGATGTTTTGAACAATCATCGCAGATTCGCGCTTTATCTGTGATCAAGGCTGTTTTTAAAAGCTGATTTTGATGTGATGTTGACCGTGATCTCTTAAGTCAGGAATTTGCGTTGAGAGGAACCGGTCTTCAAAACATCGGTGAGGTATCTTGATCACTCATCGCCAGATCAAGCCTCAGGTAGTAGATAGATCGGGGGCACTTCGATAGGGCAGCTCGGGTGGCTATCTCTTTGTGTTTGGTATCACTCACGTGTCCATGTGTCGTGGAGTTTGTGCCAGTTTGCTCGGAAATAGTCCTGCTCGTCTGGGTGTGGATCGGCTGTGGTTGATGGGAAAATTATGAAAACCTAGTGTTATCCATTGTCAAAGTTGTGATAAAAGATCGTCTGTGATTCGATGAGGCTGCCTTTTGATCCATGCGGATCCGTGGAATGGTGTTCGATGATGGCCGTGTGGATTGGTTACATGGACCGTGGTACCAATACAGACTTCCATAGCACTTAGCAGCTATGTGTTTGTGCCAGGTGTGTTTCATCTCGTAGTGTCACTCCAGGGAATAACCGAGCACCCCTTTTGCTCTGTTCACATCGGCCTGTATCATTTCGTTTTCTTGAGATACACCGTCACCAAGCAAGATTCCTTTGTCACAAAAACCTACACCACTCTCGCGCGTTATGCCTTTTTCACATAGGTACCTCAAGCTATACCTTTCAACCGTCCCTTTACCAGTTATCAAAAACAAATGGCCGATAGAGGGCACCTCCTTCAACATCAACATGAGATCGTGCTTCGTAGGCTAGCGTCACCTAGAGCTGACAGCTTAGGAAGACGTAAGGAATAGGGGAAGCGGGGGAACACCGCTCCCCCTCCCCTAAGCTAAGTGAGAGAATACTTGTGAAGTATCTTGGTAGTTATTGTCTTGGTCATAATGCTTGAGCATTTTCTCACGTGTTAAAGGTACAACTTACTTTGCATGCTGCTAAAAGGTTTCCGTGCATCTGCACTACGACTTTTAAAAATACCTTGCATATTCGCCGCCAACAAAATGTGTGGGTAACCCCGCCACCGGTGTTGATGTTAACCCAACCCATCCCCACGAGAGCTTTTCAATTTGTCATTGCTCAGAGATCGCGTGCGATGAGTTTCCTGTCGGTAAGTGGTAGGGTAGCCTGGGGCAAGACGCCCCAGATAATTTATTTTGCTACATAACTTTTGTCCCACATCACCTGGAAGGCCAAATTTGTGCTCAATGCGTTCTTTGGACATTTTACTTTAAATTCCACCCGTCAAATTCATTCACTTATGATCGAACTCCCAGCTAGGAAGTGATTTGTGAAGCAACTGCAAATGGGGCATTTTGCCCCAACCCCAGGGCAAAACGCCCCACGGCCTAGGGCAAGAAGCCCCATACTCTAGATTAAAGATTAAACATGCTAGTTGACTAAATCTTATATGGGAGGCCCGTTAGATCTCTGGAGGCACGGCTCTGAAGTTAGCACCTTCCATCCTGTCAGGTGTTCAGCTATGACACTATTGTATGTACAGGTTTTTCACCTGGCTCAAAAGGCCAAATAATAAATTATTGCAATGCAAATGTTAACAAAATACTTCCTTTGCCATTAATTTGCTGAGAAAAGCACATAAAATTGCATAGAAACTTACTGTTCGCCAGTTACCGAACATTAGGAAGTGGGTATTCGGAACAACACATGAGGTAAAACGCCCCATTGGGCTTTTTGCCCCGCGACCTACTGGGGCGTTTTACCCCATCACGTAGTTCGGTCAGAGAACAACGCCTTGCACTCCAGCAAGAGATAAATTAAAACGGACCAACCCATTATTATAAGCGTTAGACACTAGTTGTTCAAAATACATAAAAGTCGTTAACCTGATGTCGACAATAAAAGAACGCCATGATGCATAATCTGACTGCAAAACATAAAAATCACTCCAAAAACAAATTTTTGGCTATATCTCCCTAAAGAGTTATCACAATTTCTTTCCAGTTTGCTCATATAATGATCATATAGTGCACGTTTTATAGAAGAGAGGATGTTTCCCCAGAACCTTGCCAGTTCCGAGAAACATCGGTGAGGCGTTTTACCTCGGCGGGGCGACTTGCCCCGGTCTACCCTAATTCGAAAACAATCGGTAATTGATACCTAAAAAGGTAGGCATAGGTTCACCAGCTGTATGCCAACAGTATGCCAGTTTTAAGCTGGCAGTTCTTGGTCGGGATGAATGAAAAATATTAAGTAAAAAATCAAATAAGCTGTTCATTCCTGACTTGGGATCATCTACGAACATAAATAAACCCGTGTCTTTGGAACAGAATGTACTAGACGATTGAAGCAAACCTTTCTTCCTGGACTACGCCGATCAGTAATTTTTCAATTTTCGATGTAATCAAGCAAATCAAAATGAATATCTACTTAAAGACATTCAAAAGTGCTCCCGACTCATCGAATTTTGATAAGAGAGTGTGCATTTTTCTTTAAATGTCCACATTGAGCTTCAATTAGGTACACTGAAACTTCGGAACGCAAATCAGAAGACGCTTACCTTCGTGCTGGAAATAACGAATTTTTACACTTTACAGTTCATACTTTCGCCGCCAGGTGGTGTGGCGATGTTTCCCACGTGACGGTGTTCCCCCCGCTTCTCCTACGTGTCGGAATCAAAGATCTAGAACTCCGAAATATGAGGACATCTGCGGGACCTCCGGTAGAGGACACACCACGAGCCCATTCAGCACTGCGGGCGGGGTGCCAGGTGGCGCCACTGACTGAGTGAGGGGCGGGCTCTAGTGGAGGCCGGTGACACTGTGAGATGGTATGCCTACCTACAATCGCCTAGGCTGTTATGCATCATCGGCGTAAAACATTATCACCATTCGCTGCGCCTTGTGATACCCGACAGTCAATACACTCGTCGATTTCGCTGAGCTGTACCTCAGTTTGGGGTGCAGCCGCAAGGCCGTGCCGTGATCGTAAGTAGTAACTGATCAGTGATCACAACAGTCCCTTGACCATTGACCGCCCACCATTGCACCAACCCCAACTGCTGGTAGGCGATACTTAATGTAGCAAATTGATGGATAGTGCCGACTTGAAGGGTTACTAAACAAAAATGTCAGTCACGCTAGGCTGAAGAGGATGACGGGAAATCCGCGCGATCTGTGCAAAAATGATAAGATCTCGAATGGATTTACATCGGGATGAAATCATACGGCAAAATGAGAGCCTTATGGCAGGTAAACAGTGTAGCATGTTTACAATCATGTTGCTCTTTTTTACTTTTTTATTCAAGTCTTACAAGCTACGTTTGAGGGATGGTGCCTTGGCTTATGTAGCGTGCACATAGCACAATTGCACATTGCACAGTGGCCAGTGCGCACCACTCTCTTCAGTGTTCATATTCGCTGATATCCGAGCCCGTAGCAGGATAGTGGTTTGCACTTTGCAGTACGCAGTTCGTATCGTTGCCGATTCTGATCCAGCTGAAGCTGACCTAGCCCTGACCTCTGCTCGGATCTGGTGTTATCCTCGATTACAGCTAGCTGGCCGTCAAGATGACGGTAGAAGCTACCTATTCATCCTTCAAATCGCTTTTTATCGTGCAGCTGTCTCTGTTTTTGTCTTTGTTGTCTTTCCAAGGACATTTGCGTTTGTTTTTGCTGGCTATCTGGTATGGCCGCTTACGCTCCTTGGGGCTGTAGATGAAACCGAGACAGAATGCACAGTGGACGCGCACTGCAATCTCCATGATGCGCTGCGCAGTCGGACCCCTGTATTGAGTATGAAGCGCACGAGACTGCGTGGAAACCACGAAAACTAAATTGTGATCAGCTTAGTACGAGTACGTATGTAATTTTACGAAGGGTCATTTATTCATTAGCATTCATTAACTTTTTAACACTCATTAACATTTTTATCGAAGATACAGCCTGCTAAACTTTGTGTCAATTTTTAGTGAACACATATTTTGTAGGCATTTCTAACGAAGGTCGATGTCAAAACCTGACCGGAAAGGTCTAGTTGCCAATCAATCGATCTGGTTTTTAAGCCGAACTCGGTCTTAGATATTTCCATCGCTCTATCTATCAAAATAAAGGTATTGTCAAGAAACGGCTGGTGACGATGACATTAACCCTCACCGGCCGAGGGGGGGGGGGGGGCGGGTGCCGCCCTCCATAGTTTTTTTTTCGCGATAACTCCGAACACGCTGGCGATAGAGAGCTGAAACTTGGCATACCTGACCTTCGATCCAAGCCGCATCTTTTGACACCAACCGCATTTTTGGGTCAGGTCAGGTCACTGACCTATGACGTCATAAGTGAACCTCTGCACGGTCTTCAGATGTCGCAACTTCGCAACGCCCTCACTGCCAGAGGAGATGTCACAGGGATATGAAATTTGCAGGATCTAGTATCCATTATGAGTCTCACAACTTGTATATCTCGGATTTTTCCTAAAGGTCATATGAGGTCAGGTCACTTTCGTGACCTCACCATTATAAGTCAATGGGGAAAAATGAAAACTGCTATTCTGGCGCCGGGAACGATCTCCAACTATCTCAAGCACACAGAATCGTGATTTGATGCACTCCTTGCAAGGTTAGATGCGTTACTTTTGCAATGTTGACCTTGCGTGACGTCATTTATGACGTCATCAAGGTCATATTAGTTTTTCGTCAATAACTCTTGATCAAATTGAGCTAGCGAGTCGGGGAAGTCACCAATGGACTCAGGAAGACCTGCCGAATCGAATGATATGCGACATGACCTCTTTCGACCAACTTCGTGACCTGGGGGTGCTGACCTGACCTTGACCTGAGGTCAACACCCCAAGTTGACCTGACCTGAACAAAAAGTATATCATTCGACGCGCCTGAGCGAGGCGAACATGATGCTGCCAAAATCGCGGCTCTACGGCCGTTTTTTGCGAAGTAGAAAAAGTAGAGGGTTAACCCTCGCCGGACCTATTGGTTTTCTACATACGCGCCGGCCGAGGGGGGGGGGGGCGCGGGTACGACCCCCCCCCCCCTCGCCGTTTCGCCCCTGGTGGAGCTAGCGCGTCGCGGAAAAAACGAGCGTGTGCGCCGTTACGAGACGCAGAGAGTGGTACCCGATTTTAAGGTCCTAGGTCAACCGGTGACCTCTGAGGTCAGGTCAAGTGCCCCAAGGTACGGCTCAGTTTTTGGTGAATAACTTCGCAAAAAACGGCCGCAGAGCGCCGATTTTGGCAGCATCGTGTTCGCCTCGCTCAGCCGCGTCGAATGATATACTTTTTGTCCGGGTCAGGTCAACTTGGGGTGTTGACCTCAGGTCAAGGTCAGGTCAGCACCCCCAGTTCACGAAGCTGGTCGAAAGAGGTCATGTATGTATGTATGTATGTATTGACGATCAAGAGCAATCCACAATCGGCGTGGCGATTACACTCCGAGTCCGAGCTGGTTGAAGATAACACAAGAAATACCTATACCAGAAAACGCACACACTGCATAT